GGTGGGGAAGGCTAAAGATTGGGGTTTAGGGTTAAAGGCTACAGTGGGAGCTCCAACTCGGAGGTGGGCACCTGCTTTGTGGTGCATCCTAGTGGTTGTTAAAGTCGACATGATATTGTATTTGAGATCCTTCTGTTTTTTTAGATCTAACTATCTGTATCTGTAGGGTGGGATTTTATCATTTGAGAACTGATTGGATAGAGAAAAGTTAAATACCTGAAAAGAGCCAAAGACAAATGCAAGTTGGAAATTTGATTGTGGAACTTGGAGGTTATATAATAATGTAGCTTCTTTTCCATTTACTTTATTCTGTGAATGTTAACTAATATTAAATTACTGTTGGTTTTATCAAGACTGCAGTTATCGGTAATTAAAACGGTACACAAACAAAACCTTCTAAGCAAACAAAAGGTACACAAACCAAAAACATCAATTTGGCTATTGGCTTTTTGATGCAAGATTACTGTTTTTTCTTTAAACATATTATGCATTCTTACAGGCCTCAAAAATTGAGTACAGTTACATTGACAAGCTGCTGTAAGGTGGAGCTTGTTGGGTAAATCAATGTTTTGCAAGAGTTGAGACACATAATACTCGTGCAACATGACTAGGGTACCTTTTTTCAATGGCTACATTGTCACACGCACTCTCTTCCTCGGGGTGAATGTACGTTGGTGCGCTGATTAGTATGCATGTTGCCGCACTTGTGTTCATGTCTTCGTCTTGTTTTCCGCTGTCTCGCTCTCTCTGTTTGCTCTCGGGCTTGGCAATGGTGTAACAGAAACAAAGGATGCTGAAACGAGACAGGCAGCAAAATTACAGGAAGAGCGTGTGTCTGTGTGTGTGTGTGTGTGTGTGAAGAAGAGGGCAGCCTAATTGGTGATAGCCTGCAGCCTCGTCATCTCCAGAGCTTCCTCACAAGCGAGTGATGTCTCTGTATTGGTTCCATGCCAGATGTTGTCCTCTGGCTGAGAGGCCGGTCTTTGCACAGAGGCAGATGTGTCCGGCCTCCATTATCGTGCTAAATTATCTAGGCGTATACACAGTACCAAGTGCCTCATCGGAGCTATTTGGGGGGGTTTTCTGCCTCTTTTCTCTCTATTTTTTAAACAAAACTCTCATACTCAACACTTCTGTGGTTCTGTACCCCTTTTCCACCAAAATTGTGCTAGTGATCTGCAAACCTCTCTCAGAATTGGCCCTTGTTTTCCCCCTGAGAGCAGAACAAAGATATAACTACTAGTGCTGTCAAAATTAGCGCGTTAATGCATACGATTCATTTTTTCAGTTTAAGTTTTTCAGTTAAATTTTTTCAGTTTTTCATAATTTTTTTCAGGCATTAAAAATATTTTACGCAATTAACACAGGGGCGGAGCTAGGGTTGGCCACCCCACTCACAAGTGCTGCTTCTGTCTTTTTTTTTCTTGACAAGAACTGCGTTTTATTTAGACGCAGAACATCTTTACAACCACATCAAACAGGAGACTTTTCAGACGCACACTCCAACTTCACCTCAGCGCCAAGCGCTAGTCAAACAAGCGTGGAAAAGGTACAGGTGATGAGGAGCTTCAGTAGAACAACAGTGAGCTGCTGTCAGATGACATGTTGTCAGGCCGTATGTCAGTAAAAACCAATTTTCCTGTCCTGTCAGCCGTTATACTGTGCTCGTAGCACGTGCTCTTCAAATGCACGCACAAATATAGCAACACGCACTGTATTATATTAAAGCGCTATAACATATTAAAGTGCAAATGAAACTATGAGCTTATGATGTCAGTTAAGTCATGAAGTTACCAAAAATGGCAATTAAAGCTGCCTTAAAACTGTGCATTTGTTATTTATGAGTCAGATTTAAGAACATATCTCTGAAACGCAGTGGTTTTCAAAACTGTCCTGGAGCACCCCAGCACTGTCTGTCCCCGCTCATCTAAGGGTGCTTTCACACTAGCACTTTTGGTGCGCACCTGGGTTCGATTGACGTCAGAGTTCGGTAAGTTTGGATGATGTGAACGCAGTCTTCCGAACTCGGGTGCGCACCCGCGAACCGTACCCGAGTCTGCTTAAAAAGGGTGGTCTGGGGTACGGTTCAAGTGAACTCTGGTACGGTTCGCTGCTGATGTAAACGCAATCGTACCAAATCACGGACGTGAACTGCTATTAATGACGTATTATTTGATAAAAATGTGTGTTTGTGTGTTTCACTCACTTTCTTGACGAGCGTGACTGACACGCTGCAAGCAGAGAGCTGTATATCTCATTTCTGTTCACCTTCAGAGTACTTTAGAGCATTTGCAGTACATTCGTAAGGCAGACGTAAGTGTCGTTATGTACTGAAGCTACAAATAATATAATGTGAACACAGTCCAGCGGGGGCAGGGGGAGGGGGGAGCAATCAAACTCGGGTTCGGAACAAGCAATCGAACCAAGTGTGAAAGCACCCTAACACACCCGGTTCAACTGGTCAGTTCATTACTAGAGACTTTAAGACTTTAAGAAAGTTCTGTTATAATGCTACTCTGTGCGGTCATCACCGGTCTATTAAAACGCACAACATATTGTCTTCCGAACTCGGGTGCGCACCCGCGAACCGTACCCGAGTCTGCTTAAAAAGGGTGGTCTGGGGTACGGTTCAAGTGAACTCTGGTACGGTTCGCTGCTGATGTAAACGCAATCGTACCAAATCACGGACGTGAACTGCTATTAATGACGTATTATTTGATAAAAATGTGTGTTTGTGTGTTTCACTCACTTTCTTGACGAGCGTGACTGACACGCTGCAAGCAGAGAGCTGTATATCTCATTTCTGTTCACCTTCAGAGTACTTTAGAGCATTTGCAGTACATTCGTAAGGCAGACGTAAGTGCCGTTATGTACTGAAGCTACAAATAATATAATGTGAACACAGTCCAGCGGGGGCAGGGGGAGGGGGGAGCAATCAAACTCGGGTTCGGAACAAGCAATCGAACCAAGTGTGAAAGCACCCTAACACACCCGGTTCAACTGGTCAGTTCATTACTAGAGACTTTAAGACTTTAAGAAAGTTCTGTTATAATGCTACTCTGTGCGGTCATCACCGGTCTATTAAAACGCACAACATATTAAAGCATCTTTCATGTTTCCATGTTTTCTACAAAACAAAACCGAAAATCGAGGGTGTATGATGTCATTGGCAGGCGACACAATGACACTAGTTAAAATTGCTTATTTCTCTGGATTTAAACATTCTTCGAAACATTTGGGATAATGTAAGTACACAAGTCAGCAAAATATGTAACACTGTTCTAGTGGTTTTTGGATATTTTAATTAAAAAATCTTACATATTGTGCCTTTAAGTCGCTGGGGTAAATTTGTAGCAATAGCCAAAAATACATTGTATGGGTCAAAATCATAGTTTTTTCTTTTATGCCAAAAATCATTAGGATATTTAGTAAAGATCATGTTCCATGAAGATATTTTCTAAATTTCTTACCGTAAATATAAAAAAAACGTAATTTTTGATTAGTAAAATGCATTGCTAAGGACTTCATTTGGACAACTTTAAAGGCGATTTTCTCAATATTTAGATTTTTTTTGCATCCTCAGATTCCAGATATTCAAATAGTTGTATTTCGACCAAATATTTTCCTATCCTAACAAACCATACATCAATAGAAAACTTATTTATTCAGCTTTCAAATGATGTATAAATCTCAATTTTGAAAAATGTACACGTAAGACTGGTTTTGTGGTCCAAGGGTTACATATTATATTATATTATATTATATTATATTATATTATATTATATTATATTATATTATATTATATTATATTATATTATATTATATTATATTATATTATATTATATTATATTATATTATATTATATTATATTATATTATATTATATTATATTATATTATATTATATTATATTATATTATATTATATTATATTATATTATATTATATTATATTATATTATATTATATTATATTATATTATATTATATTATATTATATTATTCCAAAGTCATTTCAGGGTCTTTATGCCATTACAAGCCGATGCAAGCATCAGATATTATTTAGCTAATAAAATTCATAACAATTAAAATATGTGTGTATTTTTGGGAATGTCTTTTAAACATGTTGTTGGACTCACTGAGGATTTTTTTTATTCACTAATTCACACTTTTGAAAATATTATTGATAGAGATCAAAGGTTAGTTTTAGAGATTTTATCAAAGATAGATTTTAAAAAATCTTCAGTTATTTTTAGTAGGTCTTATATTGTTATGGTTTAAATTTTTATCACTTGTATTATATATACGTATATATATATATATATTTTTTTTTTGCCATGAAAAACGAGAGTTAAGCAAACAAACAAACAAAATAATGGGGTGGTAAAGTGTTGTGGATCTAGTTTTGTTTCCTATTGATTCCAGCCTGGAATCAGCTTTTATGAAGTGGAAATGTGCAGAAAAGTTCCAGATCCGGCAATGGTACACTGTCGGCTGGCATGTGTGTCTCCTCCTCTCTTTCTGGACTGTATATCTCTGATTGAGCAGCTGGTGAGATTATGCCACTCGTTCTGAGACCTCAACTATCTCCCATTACAAATGAGATGTCTTGAGATCCGGCCCACTAAATTGAATTGCTTACTAAAATAATTGTGATACGAATAAACAGATTAAAGCAACGGACTGCGGTAAACGGTGCTTCAAAAGCCCCTCAGCAGGAATACATTATATGGTGTCTTGATAAATACTACTTTGCAATAAAAAGAACAAATAAAACGTGGTGTATAATGAGTCATTTTTATGGCCTTTATCTTCTGGTTAGACTGAGCAGCTCTGTGCTACTGTTGTGAAAGGCTGTAGAGAATTTCAGTGTCATTTTAGTAACCAGTCATTCATCTGTCGCCAACGACACTAGGGTTTATGATCAGCCACAGAGCTGCTGTCACTGCCCAGCACCCTCCTTTTTTACTGTTTCCTAAATTCTCTCTCCTCTTCTCTCTCTCAGATGCCACCATCCTCAGTTATGATGGCAGTAAGTTCATGAAGATCCAGTTGCCAGTAGTGATGCACACAGAAGCAGAAGACGTGTCTTTGCGCTTCCGTTCCCAGCGTGCCTATGGTGTTCTCATGGCAACCACCTCCCGGAACTCAGCAGACACTCTGAGACTGGAGCTGGACGGAGGGCGTGTCCGACTCACTGTCAATCTAGGTACATCAGCCAATTTGATCGCTCACCTTAGTAGTTAACATCACACATATATATATAAAATGTACTGAAATGTCACACAACAGTATTACTACATTATTTTTTCATCTATTGTCTATGTTAATACGATTAACAATGTAAGATTTCTTTTTGCCAATATTTCCCTTTATTATTCAGGTAACACCTACATATTTACTTGCCTATGGGGACATATCATTGACTATTAGGCTATTGTTTTTATATACAGCTAATTATATATACTATAGACTATTAGACTATAACTATTATATTAATTATATTACCGTTCAAAAGTTTGCAGGTCAATAAGACCCCAGAAATTAATATTTCCATACATCAAGGATGCATTAAATTGATCAAAGTGACAGTAAAGACAAATGATTCAATTTCATGCTAAATAAATTCTCTTCTTTGAACTTGGTATTTATTTAAAAAAAAAAAAAAAACATGAAAAATATTGTATCACGACCACAAAAATATTAAGCAGCACATCTGTTTTTAACATTGATAATAATAAGAAATGTTTCTTGAACACCAAATCAGCGTATTAGAATGATTTCTGAAGGATCTTGTGACACTGAAGCTGCTTCTGTAAATTTATCTTTGCCATCAGAGGAATAAATTGCTTTTTGAAGTATATTAAAATAGAACAGTTGTTTTCAAATGTAATAATGTTTTACATTATTATTTTATTGAATTTTGATCAAATAAATGCAGACTTGTTGAGCATAAGAGACTTCATTCAAAAACAAAAAATATCAAACTTTTGAACGGTATATTATATTATATTATACATTTGTTAATATGTTAGATTTATATATGTTTTTATAAATGAGAACACTCCTGGGTGTCCCTAAATGAGGTTTTGTCCAATTTTGCCCATTTATGTGGATATGGGTATGTACACACACACACACACACATACATTAAACATATTACAATCCTTGTGTGCTGAAGAGAAGGATGTAGAACCTTCAACGGCCAGAGTCTGCGGCCAAGCGCTCACTCCCAGATGAGCACGCTGTAGACTTTCCCTACCAGAGAGTGCACAATCCCAGCCTTGTACTGATACACAATAGTCCTTCTCCTGCATACTATAGACTCCTCGCTAGAGCGTTACACGTGACAGGAGTACTGACAAGCCATTGTTCTGCCCAGTACATTTAATTTACATTTCCCCAGAAGCCACTACACTTTCCTCCCTCGTTCGCTCAGCTTAATATTATACAGTCTTGCTCCACTCATAAAGCACCACCTCTGCTATTCACGAGTTCAAGCTAGTTCACACTAAGTAAATTTGAACATCAGTCGTTTAACTGTCCTCCCACATGATGTCAGGTATTTCTCATGCAAAACTGAGCTAAAAAAGTTCCTCTGCAGAAATGTGCAGAACCAAACATCCCCTTGCTAAGATGAATGTCAGCCATTCCCATCTGGCAGTGTGACGTACACTGTGCCATTTAACATGTCCGCTTGCCTATAGCATGTCTAAAACCTTCCAGTAGTCCCGGCAGGTTCAAACCTGCACACCTCCGCATACACAAACAGACACGCTCCCACACAAACACCACTCATTCCTTCTGTCCCGGAGGGTACTGCACTCCCTGTTAGGGTGGACACACGTTGCTCTCTGGCTGTTAGCGGCCACGATTTTCACTGTGGTTGACGACACGCGACGGGCTGCAGCCTCATGGGAAAAAGATAGAGCTGGATTTGTGTAATGCTCTGAATTCCTCTCAGCCCTCCACTCCATCATTGCACACACTGAAGCATGGGACAGCCCAGACTGTGCATGAGAAATATCGATTCTCCATTCTAGAAGTACGCTTTGCAAAAGATAGTAATGGGAAAGGGGGGCCTCCTCCCAGGAGTCAAGCAAGGTTTTATATTATACAGTACCAGCCAGAACAAAAGCAGTTTTATTGCACTGTTCAGTAAGGAGTCTCAGCGGTACTGTACTTTTTGGTGTTTTAAAGACAGTTCACCTTGAGGTTTTTTTTGTTTTTTTTTAAGATTTAGATTTTAAGTGTTAAGTCAAATTCCAATGGGAACATAGGGGTTTGGAAAAGCAGTTAACATCTTGAATTTTAAGTGATATCAGGGCTCAACAATAAGGACAGTAAGTGTGAGAGAGTTTTGGGCCACTTGACAGGCCAATTTTACGTTCATCGATCTTGTACATTGATGTTTATGCCTTAAACTTAACCGTTTGATTTTATTTGATGTAGTAAACATTGTTGTGACAAATTCTGTTGATTTGTCACTAACATAATGATATCAAACTGGCTAGCATTGAAATTGCAATAATCACTTATGAAAATCTTCAGTAAGAATGGTTATGATATAATGCTGGGTCTAAATAATTTAAATTAGATTAAAAATAATAATTTAGCATTTACTATAAATTGAAAATAAAAATGGATTTCTAGCATTTCATGTTTAGCACATAAAATACATTTCTAGAAAATATAAACATTTAAAGTGATCTTTCTTTTGTTGTGAGGCCAGTGAAGATGTTGGCAGGGCAAGTAAAAACAACTTAAGAAAAAATCCTTATTGTTGAGCCCTGAAGAGAATTTATTTAAAAGCGGTATTAGTAGCATTAATAATGATCGTGTCAGTATACTGTCTTTAGGGAAATTACTGAGAGATATGTTTTTTTTTTCGTGCACACACACACACAAACTTCACCCATACTAGCTTTCCTTGAAGTGTCACTGTGAGAGATTACTATAAAACGTTTTCTTCCTATGTTTATTCATGCACATGGGGTTCTTCTCACACGCAAAAAGGAAAAGTGAACCTCAAGTCAAGGGCTGTGAGTTTTTGGAGTGTTTTCATCTACAGGAGCATTCTGAATTCAGCTCTGCTCCCAGAAGGCTAAGGCTTACCGTGGACACGCTCTGGTGCTCTGCTGCGACATGTCCATAAACACTAGTTTTTCCTCTCCTTCTTATCTTGCGGCCTTTTTCCCATTTCCAAACTCTTCAAATATGACTCGTTCTTTAATTCCTCTATTTTTGCTCATTAAAGGGAAATAAAGATAAAAGGTTTTTAAAAATGTGCATATGAGAGCATCAGCAGCGCCATTGGCGAGGATAGGCTGTTTCTCTGGCAAGATTCTCTCTCTCTTCTGCTTCCTGTGCCACTTTCTGAGCTAACCCAGAGAGCAAATCAATTACCTCTGAATATTCAGTAGTCCCGAGACTAGTATGGAACTGGATATAATCACATTTCAATACATGCCAAATTTCCCTAATTCAAAATATATTATGGCACAGTGAAGGCATGAATATTCATTAGCGCAGACAGCGAGTCCATATCCACTCCACCTGGGGTTCATTATCAGCACGCAGGAGGTAGAAAAGAAAGAGTGCGTATCTGGTCAGCGAAACAGCACTTCTCCGCTCCACCTGGTTTGCGTGTCCGTCCCCAGTTTGTGGGCGATGTGTTGAAATGGATGTCTGCAGTCATAACCTTGAAGGCTGAATTTACATCTTGTCTGTTCTCCCCCATCTAGACTGTATCAGGATAAACTGTACTACCAGTAAGTGACTTATCCCCTCTCTTCCTCTTCTCTCTGCCTCTATGATACTGAACCAAAGCGCCCTCCTTTGTATGTGTACTGTTCATTTGTATGTATGTGCGTGCGCGTGTATGCTTTCAGTAGTGTAAAACAATGCGGTTACGAGGCCTCTGTTTTGCGACCAGCAGAGCTTTGAGTGGTGTTTCCAAACTGCGAGCAAGCTGTCAGGCACGGCTAATTTTTGCCTGTGGGCTGCAGGAGCCTTCAGGCTCCCTAGCAGCCATTTTCTAGGAATGTGAGAAATGGAGCTGACTGGAATGAGAGCAGAGGCGATTAAGTTTCTCACTCAAAGAGCACACTCCAGCTCACGCCATTTCCAATAACCCTCGCAAAGATCATTTCCTCAGAGAGCCTCTCTTCAAATCCCTCCTCAGCCTCGAGCTTGAGAGCCAATGTCTGCCTTTTATTTTCCTTCCCTCATCTTTTTGTTGCTTCCTGGTCACTGCAGAAGGAGAGACCATCAGGAAGTGTTTATTTTTCGGTGGGAAGAGGAAAATGTGGCTATTTTTTGAGAATTGTGTAATTATTTACTCACCATTATGTTATTCCATGCCTATATGAATGCATTTCCTTCTTTGCAACAAAAATTTATTAGATAATAAAATTTATAAAATTAGATATTAAAATCTTCACGAGGTCTTTTCCATACAGCGGCATATAGAGCACAGCTGTTACACTTCAAAAAAAAAAGGGGGGGGGGGGGGGGATTAAAAAAGGGGGGGGGGGGGGGGGATCATGATAAATGTCCATATGGTGTACGCTATATTCTAACTCTTCTGAAGTCATACAATATTTAAATGAAATGATTCACTTAGAGTCTTCCTCTCCAGTGAACTGCTAATTGGAGAATACTGCTATGACTGGATCATTGAATCAAATGTGATTCATTAATGAATCAAACTACTATAAAAGAGACAATTGTTTTCTGATTCAGTTTACTGACTCAATGATCTGGTCACAGTGATTTATTTATTTATTTACTTTTGGAGCATAACAGATGTGAACTGTTACAAGCAAATGAATGGTTTATTATGAAAATTATTTGTGCCATATTAAATGGCATAAATTATGGCATAACGTTTTTATAGAGGACTCTATATATTTATTTACCTGTTTTTTTCTTCCTTCCCCATGATTGACATGTATATTCTAAACATTCGCCTTTTGTTTTCCACTTAAAAATAACAGCATACAGATTTGGAACAATGTGAGGATGAGTTAATTGACAGATTTCTTCTGTTTTCTTGAACTATCATTTTAACAGCAAATAGACATGCTTCTTTAGGAAGGTACTGGAAGAAGCAAAAAAAAAAGAGATGCGATGAGACAGATAGGGGTTCTCCATCTCCGCAGGCTTTGCCAATCAATTTTTTCTCTCTTTTTTTTAATTTGAGAGCTCCAGCCTTCCCTGGCATTGATTCTCCAAATGCCTCGGAGTAATTAATGGCAGGCTCTAAAGGCTCTTTCAAAGGAGTCTTTGTTTGCTTGTTTCCGGTACGTATCTCTTTGAGTGACTCATCATAGAATGTTATGTCCCCAAACTGCCATTGCTCATTCACATTCAAAGAATGAACGTAATGATCAGCTCCCTCATCATCAAACTAATATGGTTCTGCATCTAAATTTGGCCTTCAGAAATAATAGCTTTGAACTGTTGCATAGTAACAAAAGCGAATTTGTTAATTTACAGAAGTAGGCAAGCCTGAGTTTCTTGTCCAGTCAAAAGCATCCAGACATTTCAAGGATTTTACCTTTCATCACATCATCTGATAAAGTGTTTTGTCCCTTCGTCTTACTAAGTATATTTTGCTTGTGCGTCTTTACAGGATTTTGTGAGTGGATTATTGTTTTATTTCATTGCGACCCGGAGCTCAGTATATTGGCTAATTTGACAATAAGGCAGTCATCTGTGTTAACCTGAATGCCAAAGATAACAAAGCACCTGAGCTTCCTCGAGGGGCTTTGCCACATCCTTTCGTCTACTCCTCTGCATAATGGGAGCACAACACACTCTCAGACACAGTAGTCTTATAAACAGGCCAGTTGCAAATTAGGGTGCACGTTATACGATTTTAACCACGATTTTGCAGTCTGAGACAAATTTTAAAGATTGTAAAATATTTATTTTCAATTTTGTTGTCGTAGGGCAAATTCAGCAGACTCGAATCTCTTAGTGTGACATGCTCATTCTGAAATAAGGATGTCAGACGGGACACAGACTGCCCAGTCAATGACGTATATCTCAAAATCTGTTGATGTCACACAATCTGTCTTGGCTTTTCTTACTTGGCTCATAATTATACAATCTGACAAGCTGCATTCATAGCTACAAAGCATTTACATGCACTTAATTTCAGTTCTTTTGTGTGTGTGTGTGTGTGTGTGTGTGTGTGTGTGAGTATGAAGTCAGACTAACAGATGTGGATAATGCAATTGTAGCTTGGATTCGTCTAGCACATCCATTCAAAAGCTTTTTTTTGTTAGCTATTTTTTTACTTTACTTTTTTCAAGTCTCTTATGCTCTCCAAGTCTTCATTTATTTGATCAAAAATTAAGTAAAAACTGAAAAATTGTGAAATATTATGAATTAAAATTGTTTTCTGTTTTAATATATTTTAATATGTAATTTATTCCTATGATGGCTAAGCTGAATTTTTGTGTCGCATAATCCTTCAGAAATCATTCTAATATTTCTTAATAGTTCTAATTTCCTCTTATTATCAATATTCAAACTCATTGTACAGCTTAATATTTTAGTGGAAATTCTTTGGTAGAATTCTTTAATGAGTAGAAATGTTTAAATAACAGCATTTATTTTTTAAACATTATAAATGTCTTTTCTGTCAGTTTTGCATCCTTGCTGAATAAAAGCATTCTTATTTTTTTTATCTTACTGACTCAAAGATTTTGAACAGTTGCATATACAAATGAAACGGACTACAAGTGGCCTCAACAATCTGCTCTTGCTCTGAGAGACAGAGGTGACTTAATCCTTCAAATATTTGATTACGCATTGTGTCATGTATGCTTAGACAGATAAAGACTGTAACTCGACTATGCAATAACCTGCTATAGCTCAATTATAACGGTGAATGTAAATGTACTTACACAGAAATTCACACATGATGAATTCTTGATTAAAACTTGCTTGACAAAGCATAACGTAATTGAACAGGTGTTGTTATAGGCGCTTTAATGCCCATACACCATAGATAATGTGCAAACTGAATACATTTAAGATGTATCTGATGTCCGTATTTTTAAAACAGACATTGAGCTGCCAAGCTTCCTATCAAAAGTTGAACTATATTTTCCAAAAACAGCACAGGTGAAATGCAAGAACACATCCTGTGTGAACTGCCCTTTGCACATTGACATGTCCCCCAACAGCAGATCGCATGAACAAACTCCAGTCTGATTATTTAATAACACGTTTCCACAGAAACGTGTTTACCGATGACAAGTGGAAGACATTTCGATGCATTCAGAACATCCTTTACCAGAATCAAGAGATTCATGTTCATTCAAAAGGACCTAATTTCTCTGAAACAACCTACTCTATAAATATGCAGCAGTGTTGCCATTTATTGAAGCAGCCGTGTTCATAAATATGCAGTGGCGACGCTCCTGTTTCATTTGTGATGCAGATAAAACGGCGGACAGGGTGAAAAGCGATGCAAGCCCACCGAGCCTGAGCGAGCCACACCACTATTTGTGTTTTGTTTGTTTGTCTGTATTTACTGATCTTTACATAATGTGGCTGACTGTATAAGTCTCACACATTGTAAGTTTGTCCTTTGAGAATAGTATTAAAAGGCCGTTTACTTACACAGGTCCCACAGTCTCAGCCCTAACCTGCCCTAATTTCTGAGTGATGGACCAGATGGTTACATCATGATGCCCCCTGTTCCATCACAGCCTCAGTATCCCAGTTTTCCTCAGTGATGTTCAGATCTGGGCAGGATGGATGACTTTGTTTGAACCACTGGGCATCGGACCCGAAACCTTTTATCCCACATGATTGGCTCTTTAAATGATTTGGTCCTTCCTAATGAAGACCCAATTTTGTCTCCAAAAGCGAGCCATCAGGAGTCCCAGGGGTTCGAAGAGATACTCTGTCCTCTCAACAACTCAGCGGTCTGCACAGCAGAGGCATCATTTGTGTACCACACGTATGTATTTTTACCTCGATGGGACTACATGCTGGTGATGTTAAATAAAGTTACCAGAACATTCTCACCTGCATCTATTCCTTAGAGGGAAACGGTTGCAGGGGGAACGGTTGAAATGGGCCCAAGCCATCAAGCACTCACCTCTACGAAGCACAGAGTCTTGCTAATTGCGCTGGGTGTTTTGGCATTGAAGAAGCAAAACAGCTCTAGCTTGATGATGCGCTAAACACAAAGTTGCCGCGAGCTGTTAGGATCCTCCACATCTCCCTCACAGTTGGGCTTCTACCCACACAGTAAGGAGCCTTGGGAGATAATTATACACAACTGCATATGAACACAGAGGAAGCTGGAAAAGGTGTGAATGGTCCCGTGAAATCCACAGGAACCAATTCCACATCGATAGTGAAGAAGGAAGCTCGGGTATGTCTGAAGAGTGGTTTGTCACCTGCCGGTACAGTTGGGTACAAGGTCTTAATTCAGAAATGGAAAAGTTTCACATGGTAGTCCCCTGCTGAGAGTTTTCCTTTTAACACAACACGCAGAAAATGAGTCTGACTTGGTGTGTTGCTTGTTTACATTCTGTTATTTCAATTTACCCAAGACGCAAATTGAGTAAGATGTTTTTCAGAGCTATTATGAACCTTTATGTCATTCATTTTGTTGTGTTTATTGCATTTTTTCCACTGAGGAACTGAAAGAGAAAACCGGTATCTGTTTGATTCATGTGTGCATCAGAAACAGAGTGGCCATCAAAGGTTTGGGGTCAGTAAGATGATTTAATTTTTTTAA